CATTTAAGGGTATACCTACAAAAGCAGAAGGGAAATTGTAAGGAGCCTGATGGGATGAAAATGTAGGAACATTTTATATTGGCTCTTGGTGCAAAAATTCACGCTTGTTTCTCCCTTTGGAAAGAGCAACCTGTTTTCAATTTCTCTCAAGCTTGTAACAACTGAAGTTTTATGTGGTGGGCTGCCTCGTGCTGGATTAAAGTCTTGATCTTTTTATGTTTTTATTGAAGGCGTTCTGGTTTTATAGAGATTTAGCAGAGCAGCATGGCAACAGACACTGTTGAGCTGGGGTTTGGGACAGTTGCAGGGTTTTTAGCAACAATCCTGGAACTTAGTTGGAGATTTCCATGGATAATTTGACCCTGCTTTGGTCCTTTTATCTGGCTTGTGAAGTGAGGGCACCACAACTCACTTATCTCCTCTTGTAGGAAAGCAGTGTTGTGTTTATTTTAAAAAGAGGAAACATTTGATACAAATGTAGTGCTACTGAGAGCTCAGTGTTGGAAGCGAGGAAGAGCTACAAAGTCTTTTTCTATATTTTAGTTTAGCCATATATTTACCATGAAGTTCTGAGAAGGATACTACTTAACTCTAGCATGGGAAAACATGAGGTGGTTGCCCAAAGCAGTTGTTGGAAAAACTGATTTTTTGCCTCGGGCAGGGGGTTGGCCTAAGTTTTTCTAGGTTTCTAAGTTTCTTCTTTCAAATATTAGAGTTCTCCAGCAAATTGTAGAAAACGAGGAACTTCATGCATTATGTCTCAAACTGAGACTCGTCCTAAATTGCAGTGAGTAATCAACCTTTCAGCCTCTGTTGTGTCAAACGTAGTAATTGAATGCACCAGTATATTGTACTATTCATCACTGTAATTAAAGCATCATTTTTCTCTCACTCTCATTAGTGCTGTGTGCGCAAGAGCTCATTATTAGAACTTAATTCATCGCAACTCAGAGCCACTGGGCAGTAGGAGGAGATGTGTTAAATGTCGAGAATTATGTAAAATTTCATCTTCTCTGTTACTTTAGGCAAAATCATAAGAAATCGTTGTTATAGTGTCAAGTTAATGGCATGGCTTCCACCAGGTATGTCTTTTACATTCGTTCAATGCTTTAAACCTTCTAAGTGCTGTGAGATAAAGCATGAGAGTAGCTAACTAGTTTCCTCTTAAGAAAAAGGCAAAACTGAAATGCAGAATAGTCAGAAAGCGTGGTTATATCAGTTGCCTGAGCAACAAAATCTGCCATGCAAAAATGGCTGTTGATATTTAACTGTGAAGAGGATTAACTAGAAGCCTGTTGCAAAGGTTCAAAACTGATCTGCTCTGATAACTTCCTGAGCAGCAGCTTGGCATGGCTTTGTCACAGAATCAGGAGACCTCGAAAGATCATCCAGTCCAACCCTCCTGCCAGAGCAGGATCACCCAGAGTAGGTGACACAGGAACGCGTCCAGGCGGGGTTTAAATGTCTCCACAGAAGGGGACTTGTCAGTGGGGCTTGTGGTGCGCTGTGGCACGGCGCCAGACCAAGTCATGTGCCGGCAAGACGTGCCTCTGCTTCCTCCTCCGCTCTCACCTCTGTGAATTAGTACCACAGCCCTACATATATTTTTATTTGGGGACTGACCTGCTGGAGAGCAGTGCAGGGGAAAGGGACCTGGGGGTGCTGGTGGGCAGCAGATTGGCCATGAGCCAGCAGTGTGCCCTCGTGGCCAAGAAGGCCAATGGCTTCCTGGGGTGTGTTAGAAAGGGAGTAGCTGGTAGGTGGAGAGAGGTCCTCCTGAGGCTGTGTTCCTTCAGCAGATGTTCCGAGACAAACGGGCTTGGGTGCTTCCTGGTGATAACTGCGTCTGGAGGTGTTTTAGCTGAGCTGCCGGAGAAGTAAAACCACTGCTTTTAATGTAATTACTGTGCAGGTATGAGTGAGTCAGGAAGAAGCAGCTACTTCTTATTTATATATGGATATAGTTGCCCTGTTTCTTTGTCCCACTCCTGCGTTCTTCAGAGATTGCTGGAGATTGTTGTGACAAAAGAAATTCGGATGGCATTTTACATAATTACTGTTTGTTCTCGGTTTAAATGTCCGGAGTGTAAAAGCAAGGAGAGAGTGCACGCACGTAACAGAATATAAATTTTTTAAGAGATTTTTGTTTCTGTTTATCTGGATGGAATTTGACAGTGTCATCCAGGAATATCCTTAATTATCTGTGGAATGAAAATACTCTGGGAAATTTGAGGCTGGTACTATTTCTTTGGCAAAATGTGTGTAACAATCTTGTTATCAGTCATCCTACATTATTTTTTTGCTTCAGTTTAACCTATCCAACTGCTAACGTTTTCCTTTTGGAACGTGGAGTCCTTGGCATAAAGGCACTGAAGTGCATTTGTTGTTTTTACCATTAGGCACTCGATTCTTCCAGTAAATAGTATACAGGCAACTTCTGGAGTAATTGTTAGATTTACTTTTTAAAAAAAAATCAAAATAGGTAGTTTGAAACTATAAAATATGACAAAAACAATGAGGTGAGCACCTTTTGCTGGTACTTGATTCCAGTGCGTATTGCACAGGTATTTTATTTCACTATGACGTGGAGTGGGGCAAGGAATCACTTGTGTGATTCAGAAAGAATCTGGGAATCTCTGTGAAGTGTTTAGTTAGGCTTAAGTTAAAAGAGCAAGTTATTAAATCCCCTCATAAGCACAACGAGGAAATCTTAGGTAGAACTTGGAAGCGCTATCAAAATGCTGAACTCAGCAAGTATCTGTACTTAACATATCAATTTTTTAGCACTGAATTCCATTTCCCATGTCAGGTATGTATAGTTAGGTAATTATATTTTATATATATTTGCATAATTGATTACTGGATTTAAAAAGTTAACCAAATACAGGAGGTGATAATAAATAATTGGAAAAAAGCATTCCCTCTACCTTGCAGAGCTTGCTACGATGTGTTTAGCCTGACTCAGTAATGCCTGTTCTTGCTGAGCAGGCATCTTATCAGAGTCAAGCACTTGTTCTTGCTGAAAATGCAGCGAGGAGGTAATTCGACATGATCGTTCCGTGGCAGGACGAGAATAACTAGACAACTGCCGTTATTTTAGAATCGTGCTAGGCATAAGTACTGTGTGAGGCTAAGAGAACTGTGCCCAAAAGCCATTAAACACGTCAGAAGTGACTCTTTGAGACTGCTTCAGTTAGTTGATCGAAATCTTTTTAAACTTGTTTCCTTTGTAGTATCACAATTGTCTTTGTTTTAGTATATGAATGTTGGTGAAATGAAGCAACAGCTTTGAAGCTTGTGATCGAGTTATCAACTATTGGCTCCTTCCTCACTATCGAGCCTTGGTCTGTGCTTTCCCTGAGCTGGAACTCTGCAGTTTTCCACTCTTTGTTGAGACTTGGAATTTTTATTACGCTGACAGATCTACTGGAGACTGATTATCTAGGGGAGAGTGTTTGGGAAAGGGTGCCTGGCAGCTAAGGCTGCTCAGCCTCCTCAAACCTCATCGTTCACGGAGTCTGCGGGAAAGCCCCTTTCAGAGACCTGGGTGAGGGTGGTGCAGGAGGAGATCCTCACACAGCTCTCCAGCATCTTTTTGCTATGCTTGTCCTGTGTTCCTGTCTTTACTCTCTGGATCTGGAGCTCTGTTTTTACCCATCTTATCTCCTTAACTACGTGTCCTGTAATGGTGATTTCACGTGATACCTTCTAGCAGTTATAAATTGACTGTTTTTGTGGGGATGATCTCTTAGTAGCTGTATTCTTTCTTGCTTTGTTTCTTTCGAGTTATCTTTCCTCTGTCTCGGTAACAATCAATCCGTGGTAATAATCAAACATAGCACTAATTTAAGAACTAGCAGAACATTAATGGGACTTTCAGTTGTAGTACATACTCCTGTTTACAAAAGCCATATTCTGTCAAAGATCAAATCAATTCTCCAAAGCATAGTGAGCTAAAAGGACTTTTTTTTTAATCAATAAAAAACTAAAGGAAAGAGTGATTTTTTTCTCTATTTATTGTAGTGTAAGGAGAACAATTATATACTCTGTTGTGTTTTTTTCCCCTTCCTTCAGGCGCTGTAGTGGGAAAATGGTTTTATCTACGATTTTCCTAAAGGGGAGAGTCAAAAGAGAGCTCCTGGCCTGAATATCATTTAATGAAATACAAGAAATATCTGGAGTAGTAGGTAATCCTATAAGAGCTGCCTGTGATATGCAGTGTTTATCCATAATTATCTGTGTGTACAGTATCATGTGCGCTGTTTGCTGAGTACACTTTTTGATGAAATTGTTTGCCGGGCAAGGGAGGCGGAGCAAGCTCCGTAATCAAAGATTAGGCAGAGAAAGCATTAGCGGTCGTGCTCAGAATAATTTTTCTTCTGCAGTTCAGTAAGCTTCTTAGGGAACTATTCAGCAGCAGGAAATAAAGCTGCAGAACCTACGTTACGGGGCAGAAACTAACTAGTAATTACGTGAGATTTTAAAGATTAGTAAGTTAAAACTCTTGTGTTATGGGCACAGTATAGCTGAGAAAGACAAAACCCTGTTTGTGTCTTAGAAAATAAAAAACCTTTACAAATCCAGCATTTTTGTTTGTTGGGTTTTTTTAATGTTTTGTAGTGTGCCACGTCAGGCTTCGGTACTTTGCACAGTTGTAGTGAATTGATCGAAAAGGAAAAGATTTTTTATTCTTAATTGGCGTAAACCAAACCTCTGTGTAACAGTTTTGTGATAAAACACAGTATTGTTTCCTTTGTTGTTCACTACCGCTGAGTTGAACTTGTTTTATTATATTTTTTAGAGATATTTCTCTAATGGTTTTGTATTCTACTCTGTAGTTTAATACGTTACTGAGTTGTTGGTTTTTTTCTCAGAAAAAATGACGGTTTTGGAAATCCTGTGTCCTTATTCAAATGTGCCTTGCTGCAGTTCTGGATGTGGGAGGTGTGCGACAGCAGGAAATCCTGCCTGGGATATTTTTTTTTGTGCTGCATGTCAGAATGCAGAATCTTGGAGGAAATAGCGGCACCACGAGCAGCTCCTGGGGAGTTCCTTCAGACATGGTATTACGGGCTTGTCGGGAGAAAAAAGACCTTTCAGAGCAGCTGTTCGTTTGTGCCCACCTCGAATGGTGTCTGTATTTCCTCCTCAGATAGGAAAAGTTACTTCCTTGTGCCGTAATTCAGTCATAAGTGTGGATCTGACTCGTAAAAATGACCTCTCCCTCTGCCTTTTTTTAGTTGCTCCTAAAATACGCTGTTGCGCGAGAGGTGTGCCAAAAACGGAACTTGATTTATTGTCAGAAGAACTTTTTTAAATTTTTTTTTTTTTTTTAGAGAACTTCAGCAGTTATGTGGATAAACCCTGTGGTTGGGACAGTAGGATGTTATTTTTGTAGTGCAGCTTTTCGTTTAGACTTTCTTGTTGAACGTAATCAGTTAAAAAATGTGAAAGAATGCATCTTGTCTGACTCTTTCCAGTAGACTTGGATGTGGAATTAATTCTCTCTCTCTTTCCGTACCTCCTCTAAAAAAACCCAAACGAAAAAAAATAACAAAACAATGATTTTAAGTATAAATCACCCTATGTGTTTATTTGATTGCCTGCAATTTTCTAGGGGGAAGAAATCCATAGATGTGATAGTTTTAAATATTTTTATTAGTAAAGTAGTTATCTATGAAATAAACTCTAATTTTCTTGCTAACTGGGAATAATAGCAATTTTGTAGTTTGTTTCTCAGGATAATAGTTGCAAGTTGACTCAGGTTTTTTATTGTTTACTTTTTTTTAAAAAAATCTCCTTTTGAATGCCCTGCCTGGATTATCAAGAAAATCATTTGGTATCGCTTCTGAGACTCTCAAGATGTTTTTATTTGATAGCTCTAAATATGCTTGTATTGGATAGCTTACATAAAATAAAGAGTTGTGACATGGATCTACTCACCATGGGTAAAAGTTTCTTCCACTTGGTTTTGATAGCACAGGGTGTTATCTAAGGGCATCCCCTTTGTTGTTCCCTCTGCTTAAGTGGTTTGCAGTTCAGTAATAATTTGCTAGAAACATTGAAAATGTGACTCAGCTAGCTGGTTGTAAATAATTTAATTTTCTTGATGTATTTATAGCATATTGAGTGTTTTGGCAGGTCGAACCACACTTCAGTGGCTTTCTCTCTCCATTGGCAGTCTACTGGATAGGGATGATGAAGCTTTACAGAGAAACTGATTGATGATCCAGCACGGGAGGAGAAGGCTCCTAAATTGCCTCCGGGAGAGTTGCTGGGGGTTGCTTTTCTTGGAGGCTGATCTCAGAGCACAGACACAGCAGCCAGTCGTGGAGCAACAGCTGGGGAAGAAAATTCTCCTTCCGAACCTGCTCAGAGCTTCCTCGGGTGTCAGACCTCAGCTGGAGGGCTGCATCCATGCCACAGGCGTGAAGGTGGCTCTTAGCACTCCTCTTAAAAAGAAAATTCAGCATTTTCTTATTCTTTCAACATCTTCATTGTCTGGGAAGGTCCTGGAAGCGGCACAGGGTTTTAGCCCAGGTGCCGTTCGGACTAGGCAACAGAGATACGGGAAGCAAAGCCCGTTAGAGCAATGACCCCTGGATGTCAGAGAAGGTCCGAGTCTTCCCTTTTTCCTTCCTGTTTTGCACTTGCTGAGCTGTCCTCCTGCAGTCTGAGCTGCAACCTCCTGCAGAGCTCCATGGGTTTGTAGGACTGACCAAGGCCCAGCCATCCCTCACAAGGTTTTGGGACTTTACTAGTAGTTCATGTGATGCTCCGTCTGAACTCCTCCTCTGCACTGCCTTGCTGGGCCAACAAGAAGTGAGTCTTTTCTATCTTAAAGACAGGATTGCCGTATTTTGCATTACTGTGGGTTCCTCAGCAGGCTGATCGTGGGCAGTATCGTTTGTCTTTTCATTCTTAAATACTTCGGGTGACAAGAATTCCAGTCCTCAGCTCTTCCCTCCATTCTCACCGAAGAGCTTGTATAGGTAGTTGTCCAGTAAAGGTCTGTCAGGGAATTCCTAAGGCAGGTGAGTATGGTGAAAAGAGTTGATCCCCACTAAGTCAGTCAGGGGAGACAGGAGTGAAGAGGCGCTCGTTTGTGCGAGGACCGTGCATGGAACGTGTGGCAGGCGCACAAGTCACACCCAGGCTCCAAAGACAGTAAGTCTGTCCCAGGAGGATTGCCTGGCAGGAGCAGTATTGTGAATATATGTGGTTAGTGGATAAATTTACTATAGTTTTCCTTCCCCCCTCCCCCCCCCAAATAAAGCAACTAAACTGCATTAAAAAATGGGTATGTGCTCCTGCTTGCTTCTAAAGGCCGGCATCATCACTTCCATCGGTGATACAAAGGTTAAGGGCATTCCAAAAGGCTGGGGCTGTTCATCTTTTTCCTGCTGGGAATTCTGGAGTAAATGATGTGCACGTACTAGCTTAACTGTAACAACGAGGTGCCGAATTGCTCTGTGACTCATGTTGTTCGTTGCTGTTGCCGTGGCTGTTGTAGCTACGTTGTGAGATGTTTGTATGAATTATTTTTTTTTAGAATTGAAGTGACGGCGTTAACAAGTGTTCAGGATCTTTCTTTGCATCATAAGCTGTGTTTGAAGGCAGTGCTTTAAAAAGTGCTGTCTTTAGAAATTGTTCTGGTTCCTGGGAAACGTTGCTTAATACTTAGAAAGCTGATGCTCTTCTTATCATGAAGCAGAAACAAATCTGTTTAGCTGTAGGCACTGCCTCTCCAAACCACCAGCAGTTGGATTATTCAGTCACAAGAATCTAACATAAAACCTGGTTGTCATCCTCTTTTTGCTTGTTTTTGGGAGGTTTTGTTTGATTGGTTTTAATTGCTACAAACTGCTGAATAGCCATTGTCTTTCAATACGTAACACTAGGAGAAAAGCACCTTCTCTTTTAAAAGAAGCTATATTTTAATTCTTGGTATAATGCTTATTTTAAACCTAGGTGTGCATCTGCTTAAAGCAATTAGTCTACTAGAAGAAAAATAGTTTGTCATATTTGGTTTTTATTTAAGATTATTGTAATTGCATCTTCTTCCTGGATTATGACTTTAGAAATAGATATGCTTCCACTTATTAATGCAGCATTTTCATGATGATGAAGGTTGTTTACCAGGCAGTCTCAGCTTCTATTTTCAGTACAAATAACATTGATCGGGCCAGGGCTTTTGTTTTCATTATGGTGACAAATTGGAAAGATCTCTTTAGCTCTGCCACAAGTGATACAATGTTTGAATCATTAAAATAGCTTGTTCTTTCATTTCCAGTTCTTTATTTTTGGTATTAATTTTGTTACAGAGGTCATAATTCGTAACAAGCATTTTTTTTTCTTAATGTCCCTGTGCTTTGTCTTGTGTTGTCCGATCTGTCGTGTGTGTTCATTTTGTCCTTCACTCGAAAACTGACAACCAAACAGAAAACTTGTAGCATTTACCCTTTTGGTCTTTGCATATATGCGTATGGCTACATTTGGAAACCATACGTCAGAAAGTGATCTTTTGCTTTGCATGCTAAGTAGGTATTGCTGCTTCTCTTTGTAGAGTGCTCACTTGGCCATGATCGATACCCTTATGATGGCATATACCGTAGAGATGGTCAGCGTGGAGAAGGTGATTGCGTGCACTCAGCAGTACTCCTCCTTCTTCCAAGCAACAGATCTACCTTATGACATCGAGGATGCTGTGATGTACTGGATAAACAAGGTACGGGTACTGGGAAAGCAAGCTGTGGTCTTCTTTGTAGTCTGTACCGTTCGATTAGAGACGCGTGGGTTGGGTTTGTAGGTAAGTAGGTAGGTATATCAGGACCACGTCTGACAGAAGGCTGTTCCTTCATCTGCTGTGTATGGAGAATAAAAAGCAAAGTTTGCAGAAATAAGTTAAACGTGTTATGTGAACCAAAAAAATGAGAGGTCTAAATAAAATACTACGATAAACATTTCATTTGACCTCTTAGCAGTCACTGTCACATTGAGATGCCATGACGGCTGCTCGAGGGTCTCTTCTTGGCTCTTTAAGTGTTTTTGGCTTACTGTGTCATTTACCATGACTTCAAACCAAGGTAATCTGTGTGCATTCGAACGCGTATTGCTTGAAGTGCTCTACCTTCACTGTAGAATCAAATTAAGTAACAGGAATGCGCTCTTAATCAAATGTGATCGAGCATAATAAGGGGCAGGTTAGTTTGTACAATGTAAAGCTAAAAGCCAGTAACCCCAGAGTGCGTCGGAAACTGATATTTGATTATGCTTCAGGGCTATAGTCTGAAATATTTGTCTAAATCTTTTCAGTGGACTTGACAGCGGTGATTTACAGACCTCTTGAAAACTTGACAATTTCTGTGACTTTTCTTAGAACCAACCACTGAATAAACTTTTGTCTCTAGGTAAATGAACACTTAAAAGACATAATGGAGCAGGAGCAAAAACTAAAAGAGCATCACAGTGCAGAATCTGCAGGAGGTCAAAAGGTAGGTGTAGGAGTTAAAATATTTTTAAGTAGGAATAAGCATTTATGTGGAAGCAAAAATGACATGCATATAGTATGTATGGGTAAATGGACATTTGCAGATATTGAACTTTTAACTGCTTGTAAAAGATTTTTAGTCATTTTCAGCCAACTTTTCAGTCATTTTGTTATTAGTTTTACCATTTCCATGAAAATATCCATTTAAATGTAACACAATTGCACTTTTTATTCCTAGTTGTCCTTTTTGACAAATAAATCTTTGGTTGCAGGGAAACGTCTCCTATGACAGTCCTAAGGAATTCACTAAGATTAAGGAATGCTTTTAAGTGAATTAAAGCCGTAGTCAGCTTTGATATCAAAGACCACCACATTCCTATTCATGATTTTTATGTTTTTTCCTTGTGAGTTGCATGCATCTCAAAAGAGAAATCTCTACATGTGGCATCATGGGAAGCATTGCTCTGGCTATGATCCAGAATACTGGTTGATTACAGGTTTTATTATATATACAATAAAACCAGATTATCTTTGATTCACTTCCCTAACAGGATTTTATTTTCCTTTTGTTTGCAGAGCTCAGTTAATTAAGTAGCACTGTAGACATCAAAATATAGAAGAATAGCATACAGTTCAAGAGGATATAAAATTGCTTCCTTCAGAGAGAGCTCATTTATCCTACTGTGATATAATTATTATTGAGGAATTAGTCGTCAGTTGCACTTGTAGGGTTTTTTTTAAATATAAGGAATGATGAAGGCTAATTAGTAAGTATATGACTGGACAAAAGAAAATGTGATTTGGTTTTTTTTTTTCTTTTTACAATTGTAGTGTGACCCTGGTGCATATATCATGATATGGAAAATTTAATCTGTGTTCAATAGTGATAATATTATAGAAATCTGGAGAATAGGATGTCCCTGACAAGTTAGTTTCTCAAATTTAGATAAAACAAGGTAAATGGGGTGGGAAGATAACATATACCCCTCTGTCCTCGAGTGATTTTTCATTTTCTTGAAAATAATAAATAGTAGGAAGTTTTTTTGTGGTTTTTAGGTCACTTTGGAAGATGAGAAGAATTTTTGAAATCCAAAGTGCATGAGAATCTTAGCATTGTAAACAAAGGTACATCAAAGAGAATATGATTAGGAGACCAGTGCCATAAAATTAGCTGCATTTTTACAAATTCACTAATGTTTATCTTCACTTACATTGTAGTTTGCACTTTATATTAGGAATAACGAGATATTTTTTTTTGCTTTTAATTTATCTTTTAATGCCAACATTTTGGCATCAACCATTGAAAAACTTGTATAGTCCAACTCTGATCCCACAAATAGACCCAGTAGAATAAAGCATTTACATAAAAAAAGATACATGCATTTGTGGAGTTTTTCGTACAAATTATGTGGCTGTCCCACAGTCAGAGACCTGTTCTCTTGGCCAATGTACAAATAACATTTGCAAAATAGCAAAATCCTGCTACAGTTGCCATATTTTGGAAAAATTTGTAATTAAGGCCTTCTATACACTGAATTTTTGATACTAGTATCTGAGGTACATGTTATTTGCATCAGTATGGGATTCAGCTGCATAAATTATATTATCAAGCAAGGTATTTCATGCTAGGAGGCTGTATTTGCATAGCTTTATTAGCTAAAATCTCAGCATGGGCAAAACTTCCAATTTGACACCTGAATGTCTCTTCTGACAGTAAATTTATGGTAGATAATGTTAAAAAAAAAAAAAAAGGCTATTAGAAAATTACCCATCCTTCACATTTATGTACATGAGTAAAGTGTGGGTAAAATTACCTAGGTGATATTTGTACCCAAATTATGAGTTAAGCTAGAATTAAAGTGATAGTGAATACAATGATAAAATGGAACCCACATCTAGAAAATAAGTCTAGAATATGAAATAGTCGGTCAACTCTCTGATGAAGCATTTAAGGATTCTGAATTCCTGAACTTCTTTGCTTGTGTGCAGGAAGACAGAAGCATCTTTTCAACTCATTCAGATTATTTAACTCCAGATTTTCTTTGAGAAACACTGGCCTATTCAACCGATGGCCCATTTACTACTCCAAAACCTCAGCCGTTTTTTTGGTGCACGCCCTGCAGTATTTCCCAAATTTCCACGTGCTTTTGCTGAAGCTAATGGTGATTGCACACGTGGAAACGTGTGAAATTACATGTTAAGCACCTGAACTATAACCTGTATTTCACAGTAAATGCTAGCTTCCAAAAAATAACTGTAATGCAGGTCCACCAGATGGATCGGTTGCATCAAATTGGTTCAGGTTTCTAACGGGAGATTTGGGATGGCTGAGCTGCCGTCCAACGAGATCTGGACAGGCTGGAGAGCTGGGCAAAGGGGAACCTCATGGAGTTCAACAGGGACAAGTGTAGAGTCCCCCATCTGGGGAGGAATAACACCAGCACCAGCACAGATTAGGGATGTCCTGCTGGAAAGCAACCCCATGGAGACAGACCTTGGAGTCCCAGTGGGCAGTGAGTTGTCCCTGGGACAGCACCGTGCCCTTGTGGCCAAGAGGGCCAGTGGGATCCTGGGGGGCATCAAGAAAAGTGTGTCCAGCAGGGCTAGGGAGGTTCTCCTGCCCCTCTGCTCTGCCCTGGGGAGACCACCCCTGGAATCCTGGGTCCAGTTTGGGGCTCCCCAGCTACAAGGGTGATCAGGAGACTGAACATCTCTGCTGTGAAGAGAGACTGAGAGACCTGGGGCTGTTCAGCCTTGAAAGGAGACGGCTGAGATGGGATTTATTAACATAGAGAAATATCTGAGGGGTGGGGGTCAAAGGGAAGGTGTCAATCTCTTTTTGGTGGTGCCCAGTAATAGGACAAGGAATAATGGTTTTACGCTAGAACATGGGAAGTTCCACCTCAACACGAGGAGAAACTTGTTGGCTGTGCGGGTGCCGGAGCCCTGGCCCAGGCTGCCCAGAGAGGCTGTGGAGTCTCCTGCTCTGGAGACTTTCCAACCCGCCTGGACGCGTTCCTGTGTGGCTGCCCTGGGTGACCCTACTCTGGCAGGGGTTGCACTGGGTGAGCTCTAGAGGTCCCTTCCAAACCCCAACATTCTGTGATTCTATGATTTCTGTTCAGTGATGACGTTGCTCCTGTCGGGCATCTCCTAGTGTGTTGTACTCCCCCATACCCAGGAGTTCAGCACTGATTGTCTCTCTCCATACTGCATCAGGCCATGTGTTTCGCTTTTTTCTGGCACAGAAGCAGTGACAGAGCCTGTTACTTTATGGCATTGATCCCAGCTCGTATCTCAGCAAAGCTGTGAAATATCTGTCACTAAATTTTAATACCATCTATATCTGAATACTAATTAGTGGTTGCGTGTTTGCCTCTTCTTCACGTTCTGCCTGGGTTTAGTTAATAGTATCAGTAGATTTTCTTAAATTAAAAAAAGGCAGGGAGGATTGAATTCTGCCTTTGTATTAACTAAAGCAATATTATGCCACCATTTTCCATTTTAATGGAAAAATTAAATTACACTTCTATATATTTATTAAGCATAGAATTATCTATGCTTCTAGCACAGTAACTTAATTCTCAGTATCCGAATTCAATTGTTTATTCTCTTTCTTTGATGTTTTTTTATTCCTAACTGCTGCTTCTGTTGATATTTTATAAGTTAGCATGAGGGGGAACTGAAATCTTTCACTGTGGACCTTTTCTGTCTTCCACCATCCTTTTCAGGCTGTTTTGTAATTTATTTTCTGTGTGTTACCAACACAGTTAGCAGTTTAAAGGCTGATAGTTCCATTCTAAAATTTAAGAGCCTTTTCAATCTCTCTTCTGCTCTCACTAAGCATCTTTGGATATTTAAGTTTCAGAGTTTACAAGGTGTGGCCAGGTTTTGAACGTAAACTAAATCTAAATTAAGGATTCTGCTGATTTAGAGAGATGGCCCAACAAGCCTGGGAAGAATAGTCATTGGGGGAATCTTTTCTTTAGTTTTAATTTCTAGCCAAGAAGCAGCAAAGTTATGTATGTAGCAGGTGAAACAAAGTTAATGAGTAGCTTTTTAAATTATTTTATCATTTCCTACTGTGACAAGTTGAGGAATTTATCAGTTGTGGAAAATTATTTCAACATAATCCTCAAGCCTGCCACGTTAATGCCTTTCTATCTCATTACGCGTCTGGTGAACCTTTTTGCAATAAGTAGTAAATCTCTACATTTCTAAAAATTGTAAGCATCATATACATGGATTAATAAATGGTACAACTGATGAGCTATACCCATTTTCTCTTTCTGGTGAGATAAAAACAGTATTAACAGATTATGAGATTGCTTTTGTTTTCCTTCACTTTCTTCTGCTGCTGTCTTGCTGCAGAAGATAAGAGAGGAAGGAATTTTGTATGATTTTTAGTTCCAGGTAGTCCTCCGTGGATCTCGATCAGCCGGTGATTTGTGGTAACCTCGTCTTTTTCTGGTAGAGTCCCTGCATCTTCTTTCGGAATTAGGATTTCAGGTTTTGCAGTGAACAGCTTTGGCTTTCAGGCTTCCATTGAATAATAAGTAGTGAATGCGTGGTTGCGCTGGTTAAACTACTGACTTTCAATGTGGTTGAAGCTTTTTTAAAAAAAAGTTACTTTTCCATCCGCTTTTGTGATTTTTGTCTCCATCAGTTTTACCAGATTTAAGGCAAGCCAGTGCAAATCCTGTGAAAGAAACAAATGTAGGAGTATTCATCTGAAGATCTGAATTCTTCAACTTTTTTCTAAAAACTAGTTTAAACAGTGCAACCTTCTGCGTGAAGGTAAAACACTAATGCCGTAGTTCCACTTGTGGTTTAATGTGTTATAAATCCACACTGCTAGCAAAAGCTAACCCGTTAAGAAGAAAGGTTTGCAGCAGGATCAGCTCCTTGATCCACTTAATGCAATTAATGCCCAGCTGCATGAACACCAACGGTGATGCGAGGAAGACAGTAGGAACAAGCATTAACAAAAGACCTGACTACCAT